CCCCAAAACCCCAAAACCCCAAAACCCCAAAACCCCGTAGGGTTTTTAAATTATTGAATTTTTTATTTAAGATGAAAGGGTATTATCACTGTAAGTTTGAAATAACGGTGTAGCCAAGCCTCTCAGCCCATTTTGCATAACTTTTAAAAACCCGATTACAGCAAACACAACTTCTAGGCATACTAATTATTCGACGGCGATTGTATTATTTACTATTATTTTTACCTTTAGCCTAGCACAATTGTGAAGAAATAATAATTATCAACCCACCGATTCTTCATACACCATCAAAACTCCAATCAGTGGTCTCTTTGAGCCAAAAATGGAAAGCCTGGACATGAAAACGATCGACCTAGTAGTAAAGAAAAAGTGGCAGCGCAGGCATAAAAGCGTACTTGCTTACGGTCCTAAGAATGGTGACAAAATTTACCTTATCTCTAGCCCAAATGAAAAGACTCAGACTTTTAGCAAAGAATGTTCAAAAGTAATTCTAGGTTATAACTCTCTAGGCTTCGTTCAAAGAGACTTACCTCTCTACGATTGAAGGTTGGCAAGAATGCTCCAAGAGTTAAGGATTATTCACATCAGAGAACAAAGTCTTCTGAATACCTCAATCTGAGCCTAAAGCTGCAGACCAAGAAATTAGCCGATCAATTTGGAAAATAAGAACTGGAAGAGAGCAAACAGAGTCTCTTTTTACGGAATGGGAACCCATAAAGGTTGATTACTGAGTTTTAGCTTATAGATAGCCACAGTCTCGATGCTGGGAGACTCACAAGACAAGAAAGAGCAAAGAGTAGAGGGAGAGATTAATTTATAGAGGGATTCAACTCTTTCCAAGCGTATATTCAATGAGAACTCCATAAACGAAACTCAGTTCAATTACCCAAGAGTATTTTTTAATCTATATTTTTAGAAAAGCAAGAGCCTATTACCAAGCAAATAGTGCAGGATCTTAACACAACTCTGAAAGATCCTTTAGGATCGAATGCAAATGAGCAGTACCCTGAAATTGAATTGAATAAAATATTAAGTTAAATTTCAACATTTGCTCTGAAATTGGGGTTTTGGGGTTTTGGGGTTTTGGGGTTTTGGGG